CTGGCAGGCGGAATGGCTATTCGACTCCTGGAGGCGGGCTGTGAATGTCGCGCTTGATTCTCTTCTTTTGAACAGTATGTATGTCAAGTCTAGGAGTATTCATGTTGTAGTGCCGTTTCGAATTTAAGAACTCCTTGGGCATTGTCCAAAAGGTACCAGTAAAATAGGATCTCCACAGAATTCCTTTTCTGAAACCAAGACAACGGTATTGTTGTGTGGATCATTGGACGGTTGTTCATTGCATTGTTTATAGATCCGTTGTGGCTATTTGCAGGGTTGATACACTGGCTGTGAGGCTCCACATAAGGGCCATATGTCGGCGTATGTGGGATAAAAATATGCACGTGCAGTGAACTGATTTGATAGCGTGCTTTATCACATACCACGGCAATGTTATGCGATCTTAGAAGAGTCATTTACAGACATTTATCTTAAAAATTATTATTTTTCACCTGTTTTTACACAAGTAGCAATATTTGTGGTGCATATATGAAAACTTGATTTTCACGATCATTGATACTCTCCCATTAAATTCCATTCAATACTCTAAGATGTAGCCTCTTTAAAGTTTTCCAGTACTCCAATATTTAAAAATATATGATGTTGAAAAATTAGTGTGGAGCCACTGTATGGAATGAACAAATCTGATGACTTTAGTATACACAAATAGATGATATTTTGTGTATAGCAAAATGTGTCACCTATAGTGTTGATTCCACAGAAAAAACTCTGTTCTTACCTAGACCTTTTCATATTTCATACTATGCCATGAGACCACTTCACAATGAACATGACCTACAAGACAAAAGGGATATTAGACCTAAATTGAAAGTTCAGAAGAGCTAAAACTAAGTACTCAAGATGCTGTGTAGAGTACAGTCCCCTTGATAAGGTGCTGTGCTATTTAAGTACAGTCCCCTTGTAAGGTGCTGTGTGAGAGTACAGTCCCCTGCTGTGTAGAGTGTACAGTCCCCTTGTAGAGTACAGTCCCTTTGTAAAGGTGCTGTGTAGAGTACAGTCCCCTTGTACATTGCTGTGTAGAGTACAGTCCCCTTGTAAGGTGCTGTGTAGCAAAGTACAGTCCCTAAGGTGCTAGAGTACAGTCCCCTTGTACTGATGCTGTGTAGAGTACAGTCCTTTGTATGGTGCTGTGTAGAGTACAGTCCCCTTAAGGTGCTGTGTAGAGTACAGTCCCCTTGTAAGGTGCTGTGTAGAGTACAGTCCCCTTGTAAGGTGCTGTGTAGAGTACAGTCCCCTTGTAAGGTGCTGTGTAGAGTACAGTCCCCTTGTAAGGTGCTGTGTAGAGTACAGTCCCCTTGTAAGGTGCTGTGTAGAGTACAGTCCCCTTGTAAGGTGCTGTGTAGCCAAGAGTACAGTCCCCTTCCCCTGTAGAGTAAGGTGCTGTGTAGAGTACAGTCCCCTTGTAAGGTGCTGTGTAGAGAGTACAGTCCCCTTGTAAGGTGCTGTGTAGAGTACAGTCCTGTAAGGTGCTTGTAGAGTACAGTCCCCTGTGCTGTGTAGAGTACAGTCCCCTTGTAAGGTGCTGTGTAGAGTACAGTCCCCTTGGCAAGGTGCTGTGTAGAGTACAGTCCCCTTGTAAGGTGCTGCTGGGTAGCCAAGTGGCTAAAGCGTTCCCTCATCACGCCGAAAACCAGGTTTCAATTTCCCACATGGGTACAATGTGTGATGCCCATTTGTTGTGGCTCCCCACCATGATATTGCTGGAATATTGCTAAAAGCGGTAACACTAAACTCACTCACTCGTTGTGTAACTTGATGTAAGGTGCTGTGCAGAGTACTGCAAACCTAAAACTATTTTGTAATAGAGACTTCTGTAGTATGGAAATATATCCCCCTTCTTGCAACTCAGCAGAAAGAACTGCTTCTGTGAATATGTACATCATGATGCAGTAGTGTTGGGAACTGGTTGAAATCTCACAATTGATGATTGCTTCATTACCAACGAACAATCATCGAAAAACATTGGTTAGCATCATTTTTTCAGATTTTTCTATCCAGGTTGTTATTGCAGATTTAGTGTTTTGTTACTTAAGATGATGCAGGCCAATATTACAAAGTGCAACCTGTTATTAGTCTGCACCCAGGAGAGTCAATTTTTAGTGGGTAAACTTCTGGATAGCAATATAGCATTCTGATATAACATATTGCAATACAAACATTGCAACTGGAATTTGACTGGTGCAACTAGTTTTTTATCTTAGGTTGCACCCACCTTGTGCAAGAGGTTAAAATCTCTTCGTCGAGGCCCTGGGTTGTTATTGCAGATAGCGTATAAGATGAGGCTGCAACTTGCTACTTTAAAGTAATGAATAATATATCATGACCATAAACTTCCTGGGTCTGCAAGAAATATTCAGTCATGACTTTTTCAGATTAGTGAAAGTGAGTTTTCAAGAATTAAACAAGTTTGCAGGCCCCGACAACGTCGAAGATATGTTCCATCGTCAAGTGTTTCAAAGACTAAAACAGCAGTTCCAAAATCGTTTGTGTTCGATTATGAGAAAATGTGATCGATTGCTTGGTCGTTTGGTCACTGCGACCAATCTTCGATTATTTCAATTAATCGGAACACCACTATGATGCAGTGTTGACAGTCAAGGACAGTAACTCATGTCTGTTTTGCCTTGTCATGAATTGTCAGTAGCTTTTGTTTTGTGTTCCCTACTGAACCAGTGCTGAACAGATCTGGAAACAAGCGTACTTTGCCAGATGCTGTACCCAAACCTGTCTTTTTTATCCCATTTCATACATTATTGCCCATGAGTTTCTTTTTGACATTAATGAATCAGTGTTTGTATCACGTTGGCCTTTTAAAGTTCATGAATTCTTACCATTTCAACAACTAGCAACATGCAACTCAGATAGTTAATCAGAATACCTGCCGTAGAGTTTGTTTGTTGTTTAACGCCGCACTCAGCAATATTCCAGCTATATGGCGACAGTCTGTAAATAATCGAGTCTGGACCAGACAGTCCAGTGATCAACAGCATGATCATCATTCTACGCTATTGGGATACGATGACGTGTAAACCTAACCACCCGATCTTGTAAGTCAACTCTTACGACAAGCATGAGTAGCTGAAGACAAGTTCTAACCCGGATCTTCACAGGTTCTGCCTTGGTGCATGATCTGAATCAGAACAATGAAGTAATAATCTGTTGTCAGTTGAGATGTTTAGTACTTGATAAGATCAATTTATCAAAATTGACTGAAGGTTTAAATTTTATGGTTGTATATTGGCAACTGAAGCAGATTTGTTTGTTTGTCTGGCCATCAAATGTAGCAAGTGGGACAATGTCCATGCTTTTCCATGCCCCTGTGATTTGTTAATGAATAAGATTACATTGTACTTTGCAGAATTACACTGCAGAAATATTTCACATCCCTCTGTTCACTGCCGACATATGTCCTGGACTGTTCGTCACGCCAGCTTTCTCTCAAGTGTTCCCGTTACTTGAGACGGACGTACAACATGTACAGCTACAGTACAACACTGCTCACAAGGTCAAGGTTGGTTAAGATGTCATAGCAAAATCCATTAGGCTTGATTGTATTGTTCATGAAACTGACTTCAAACAATCCAGATCAATGTCAACCTGCTCTAGATCATCAAGGAAAAATTCCTGATAAATTGCCAATTCTTGTCAAACTAATCACACTCACTCATTGTAGAAATGATGTAATTGCCATGTTTTATGGTTTATTGTCAATTTACATGTTAACATCCTGTGTTTTCTAGGGAGACAAGGCATCGTTTACCTCCCTGTCTGAGATTGAGTGTCAGTATCTTCCCAAAGCATTACAGGTTACTTTCAAGGTAACTCTATAATACATCAGACAAGGTTTCCAGGTACTTGTTTGAGCCTTTGAGTTGTCAGAAGTTATCATTCTCATTGGATATTGTACTCTTTATGTATTTGATATATTTTTATTTCCCTGGTCTGTTGGGTATTTTTACACCTCAGTCAACATTGTTTTCGTTTTAAATAATTCTGCATGAAAAGCTATTTGAGGTCAATTCTAATTTGTATCTGTTCATGTGCTCCTCCAAGTGTGTAAAATATTGCATGGACTCACAGCAATATATGCGTCTGTTTAAAGATATGAATTAAGGCATAAGTCCATACTAGGACAAGCAGCCACACAGAAGTCACGATTGCTATATGAGTGCAATAATCAGAGGCCCAGATAAGCTGCGTATCCGGGTAAAATACGCATATAAAATTTCCAATTACGCATTGAAAAATAGTGTTTGCGTGCCAATTCGCAGCATTTAAAATGTTAGATACTCATAAAGTTTAAAACAAATCGTGCGACGGGATATATGTATAAAATACGCTTTGCGTAATTAGAGAAAAAAGACATGATTGCTATCAAGTTGTACTGTTGGTATAGGACAAATGTTGTACTGTCAGTATAGGATGAGTGATTTTTTATGAAATCATTTCCATTATATTTAAGTTGGTTTTGATTAGGTATGACATAAGGCAGAACATACCTGCTTAGTAAATTTACTCAATGACATAATACTTAGGTGAGTAAAATGACTGAAATACGCACATATTTGGAAGCAGTGGGTAACGGAAAATGAAATACCAACTCAACATTCATAATACCCACCCAAAAACAATACAGTGGGTACAGTACCCACATGAGCTAAATCTTATCTGGAGCTGTCTCTATAATACATCAGACAAGGTTTCCAGGTACTTGTTTGAGCCTTTGAGTTGTCAGAAGTTATCATTCTCACTGGATATTGTACTCTTTATGTATTTGATATATTTTTATTTCCCTGGTCTGTTGGGTATTTTAATAATAATAATAATGAGTGAATTTGTAACGCGCCAAACTCCACGCCAGCTGGTATGCTCATGGCGCTACAAGTAAAGTTATTTGGGTGAGAGTCTAGACAAAGTACTTCTTAAATAAACTGTTTTGAGATCTTCAGGCAGTGAATTCCATAGAACAGCTGATTGGTGGGCAAATGATCTGAATCAAAATTGTTTTAGTCTGTATCTAGGCACTGTGCACAGAATTTGGGACTGAGATCTGAGAGTTCTGGTTGGATAATACTGGCTTACAAGTTCACACAAATATTGCATGAACTCACTACAGCGATATATGTGTATGTTTAAAGATATGAATTAAGGCATTAGTCCATACAAGGACAAGCAGCCACATACAAATCACGATTGCTATATGAGTGCAATAATCTAACATTTCACCTCATTTTGAGTCTGATACAATCAGCAAGCATCTGATGGACATTGGCACAACTATAAAACCTGTCAGTAATGGTACCACACCAAATGTGTTTCTGGAGATGGGTGAATTCATTATGGGCCTTAACTCAAAAACCCTCACTGGGCGGTGGGGAGTCTAGTGGTTAAAACGTTTGCTCGTCGCACCGAAGGCCCAGGTTCAATTCGCTACATGGGTACAATGTGTGTGAAGCCCATTTCTGGTGTCCCCCGCCATGATATTGCTGGAATATTGCTCCAGATAATTTTTCAACATCAGTACGTCCGTACTCCATATTTGTTCAATATAGAAGTACTGGAAATGGAAAACCTTAAGAGTGTATTTAGAGTACTGAGTGGAATTTAATGGAGTATCAGTAATCAGTTTCCTCTCATGTATGCACCACAACATTGCTACTCTTGTGTAAACAGGTCAATAAACAATAAAACAATAATTTTTAAGATAAATACTTCTGTAAATGATTCTAAGACTGTACAGCATTGCTGTGGTGCATATGTGCTACGTTTTCTAAAATATTTCTCACGGTATCAGTGCATTTTGTATCCGCATTACACATGTAAGCTGCCCTTATCTGGAGCCCTGCTTACTCACTCACTAACTCAAACCCTCAGTAGGTGTTCAGGGAAGAATATTGCCCCAGTGTTCCTTTCTTGTTGTGATAGCAATGTAAGAGGATTAGATGTTAGCGAGAGTGTCTCGACTTTTTGCAGATTCACTGCAAGATAAAGTTGATTCCTCTTCCCACATAGGTTACTTGTCATATCTTCCCATTAACTCTGTTCCTAATATGACCATATTTCCTGGTTCTTGTAAAACCCATAGCGGCAAAACATCGCAACACAAATTATCTCCCTTCTTTCTATCAAATCAGAACACGTGTTACATCGACTTAGATCCAAATTGACTAACACAAGGAAATGTGGGGCCACAAATATCCCTCCTCTGCGGGACTTGTGTTGATGTGACACACGATACATTTAATGGCTAGCTTGTTCGTTGTCAACGAGGGCGATGGAGGCCCCATTGATCCTTCATTACATGACTGAGTTCCGTCTAGAAGAAACGTTTGCGCATCTCGCAGGGGAAGAGGTTCTTGTTTTCTCGAAGCATACAGAAATTACTGAGGCCTTGCAAATGATCACTTTTGAAACAACGTCGCTGATTGCACAACTAAATCAAGAATCCTGAACACTTGCACCATGAAAGGGCCATATTAGAACAGAGGTTCGTAGGAAGATATGACAAGTAACCTCTGTGGGAAGAGAATGAGATAAAGCAGAAATATTTTACATTTACTCAGTCACTCACTCACTCACACTGTTACCATGGTTACAGAGGCTTGCTTGCTGCTTCCATGCCTTGCTGAGTGAGGGGTCAGGGGAAGACCTGTGGCGTGGGTCACACAAAGTCGACTACTAGCCACAGAGATTGAAAACTACCCACCTGCCAAGATTAGAAGGAAGGTGAGGTCACTTGTCTGTATTGGACTTCAAAAATATTCTTACTGTTAAGGCTTAAGAGAGAAGTTATACTTGGTGTCTAAGAAATGGTATATTGTAATATACTGAGGGAAAGAAAATAGGGATGCGCATGAAAGCACAAGTGTTCCTTTATTTTTTCCAGTTTACACAAGTTGTGAGATACAAAGCGTGTGAGAATCCTGGGAAAAAATAAAGGAACACTTAATAACTCTCTCATATTTTCCCTCAGAATATAAAACCAAACCTGGATGTGTCAATTCTCCATTTGTGAAGTTTTATTGGCTTGCATGTTTGATATCGAACAAAGTTTGTGTGAGATTCTCTTTGTAATCTGCGTAGCTTTCCCCCGTCCCGGTATAGGATTGATTATCTAATGTGTACTATGTGTGAACCCCATTGTGGGTGTCCCCACTGTGATATTTCAGGAATAGTGCTAAAACTGGCCTAAAACCAGACTCACTCACTCACTCCTATAATGTGTATGAGAGAGAGCCCAAGTCGGTATCCCAACAAGATACTTCCCAGTACATTTTGCTTGGAGAAGAATACCAGTGGTGCATGACTGATTTTGTTTCAGAAGAGTGCTCATGTTTGCCCTGTTTCAGAATGTCTCCAACAGAGCTTCAGTCATCCTGATTGGACCGGACCCTAGACCTTGCATCCCCTGCTGGCCACCAGCTGGACACTCTACTGGACAAGATCACCAGCGTCCTGCCATCACTGCCTCGTCACACAATGCTGATGTCATGAAAGTGAGACATGACCCTCTCTGCTCCATTGTAAAGTGAGGACACAATTTGTTGAATGCATCTGATGCGCAGACTGATTTAGCTTTTCAGGGGTTGAAGTGTGCCACAGGGCATTATGAGTTAATTGTGGCATCAAGAAAATTCCTTGAACTTAGTATGAACAAACTCATTTCAACATGAGCAAGGTTATGAGCAGTAAAGTTTTAGAAAGTTTTCAAATTTCCTATTTATTGAAGTTAATAATACTTTGCTGTCCTTAAGAATATTCATCTGATCCTAACTGTGTCCTTTTTCTTGTTGAAAAGCAACTTTATCAATGGCCAGTATCATAGAATAAATAAATGTTGCAGCAGGGACCGTTCATAATTTATGGCCAGGGGGATGGCGATGATTTTAATGGAGAAGCATGTACAATGTGAATGACCCCCTAAAATTTATGTACAAAGTAAGTCTCTTTCCCCTTGCATGTCATGTACAAATCAATGACCCCATCTTTCAATATTTTTTTAAGCATAATGTTTAAATATTTTATGTACAAAATTGATGACCCCCACCTCCCAGAAAAAAATGGGTGACAAACACACACACACCCCTAAATCTCTCTCTCTCACACACACACACACACAAAAGCCATAAATTATAGAACGGTCCCATTACTGAAAACCATAAAAATAGTGTCGTCTTATGCCTTTGAAGATTCCAGGTGATAGATTAAGACTTTGGTTGCGTACAACCTCCCCACCATAACCCAGATCTCCAACTGATCACTGATTTCTTGTATCATTTGTTGTAGGGATGCTAAAAGCGTCATTGTCCCAGGAAGCCCTAGCGTCGGGCAGCTTCTCTTCACAACCTATACATTTGCAGAATCTGGTGTTTGGTAAACACAAGGTGACTATAAACTACACTCAACCAATGTTTTTCCTTTGTAGTTATTCAATTGTAATGTTATATTGTATTTCTTCTGCCAATCAAATGTTCATGCATGCACAACCTAGCCTTAAGGCTGAAATACAACCACCAGATTTGGTTAGCTCAGCCAGCTCCATTTTTGATTACAGGAAGCAAATCACACCAACTCCAATTCCACACAAAGTGTCACCTGTTTGAAAGTATCTGTTGACACATTCAGCAAGAAACAATGGTGATCAAAATACTGACCCCAAAAATTGTCATATTTAGTTACTGTGCAGATTTCGATTGAAAAATACATCACAATCTATCACATTTTTATCCAGTCCTAACTGCTGGGTGCTTCACTGCTCATTCCATCTTTTCTATGCATCTTCTGGCTGTGTAACTGATTCAGTTTTACTGGAGTGGAACTTGTAAGGGGGGATGACTCTGTATCCATGCCCTGATGGTCAACTGATTGCGAGATTGAGACCTTAGATGGAGCTGTGCAGGTTATCAAAGTTCTCTCAATAAGAAATTACAAGTAGCTATGGCATATCTCCACATTTGTCTGTAAAATGGTATAGTTTATTATGCTTCATCTTCTCAATTTGATTATCAGGAATGTTTAATGGCTGTAAATCGACGGCTAGTTGAAGCTGCTACCAGTGAGAAGCTTCCCGTCAACTTGGCAGGCAAACCAGGACGTGTGACTGCAGAACAGATAGACACCACACTCAGTTTATTCAAGTGAGGCAAAGATATTTCTCTTCTCAGGACTCTACCTCTTCCAGTAGGCCTTGTTTTACACCTGGGGCGGTGGGGTAGCCTAATGGTTAAAGCGTTGACTCGTCACGCCGAAGACCCGGGTTCGAATCCCCACATGGGTACAATGTGTGAAGCCCATTTCTGGTGTCCCCCGCTGTGATGCTGCTTGAATATTGCTAAAAGCGGCGTAAAACCAAACTCAGTCAGTCAGTCAGTGATTTACACCTGTTTAAGGATCTATACTAAACCTACCTACCTACCTACCTACCTACCTACCTACCTACCTACCTACCTACCTACCTACCTACCTACCTACCTACCACACACACACACACACACAATAATAATAATATCATTAATAATATTACATACATATACATACATACATACATATTACATATATTAATATGTACATATGTACGTACATACATACATACATACATTATTACATACATTATTACATACATACATTATTATATACATACTAACATTTGTATAGCGCAGATATCCAGCTCAGCTGCTCAAAGGCGCTTTGTTTTTTAACCATCTCCATAACTGTAGAAATAGAAAAGTTGTTTTCCATAAATTATGTCTGCTTTGTCAGTTGTCAGCTTCTAAGAAATGTGAATGAAGCAGGCAAAGTGTGATTCAGAATGTAACATTCATCATTGTTATCAGAAGAGGAAGGTCATTGGAATGCCTGCTTGTTTCTCATAAGATGTAACTAAATGGATTTGTGTTCAGGTTTTGTACATATCTGATGCATCGTATCTCATTTGTGTAGACTGATTCTCACGATGTCCATCACTGGATTGTCTGGTCCAGACTCGATCATTTACAGACCGCTATCATATAGGTGGAATATTGCTGAGAGCTCTGTTCAGCAAACTGGTGTGTCTACTTTCAGTTTCAGTCCACAGCAATATTGCAGGTCGAGATGTACAAGTCCTTCACATAAGCAAATGTTTACACGAAAGAAATCTTTTAGTTCAAAAACGAATGCAAAAGTTGTGACATATTATGATGTTTCTATTTGTCAGAGGCAACTATGCTGCCATTGAGTCTCATCTAGATACTCTCCAGGTTGCCATGGCAACATCACAGGCTTTGAAACATCAGGATACTAGTCGCCATGACAACCTATTAAGCACGGAAAAGAATCTTGTCCAACTTGTTGGAGATGACAGCTCTGCCGGCGGTCTGTCCCACATACTGACCTTGCTCAAAGGTCAACTACAGCTTCCAGCCAATCAGAGGTTAGTCCATCCAGTATGGTCACAGTAACAAAATGATGAAATCGTGAAAAATGTTTTAGAATGTGCCAATATTGTTTGTCTCTGTAAAATAATTGTCTTCAACTCTGAATTAGTAGTAAATCAGAACACAGCACTTTATGACATCTTTCTTCCATCTGTCTGTGTAGACCGCCTCCGTGGTGTAGTGGTAAGAGTGTCGGCCCGGAGTGCGGAAGGTCGCGGGTTCGATCCCCGACCGGGTCATACCCAAAAGACATTAAAATATGGTACTTGTTGGTCCCTGCCTGGCGCTCGGCATTAATGGGTACAACAAGGACTGGTCAGCTCGGAGTCAGTATAATGTGTCTGAGTGGGGTATTCATGCTTCACTGCGGCATGGTATCTCAGTGGGGTAGCACTATAAAACCAGCTTCAGTCTGGGCTAGTACAGGCAGCCGCACACACACACACACACACACGCATGCACGTCGTCATATGAGCGAAATATTCTCAAGCACGACGTTAAACCCAATTCCACCACCACCACCACCATTTGTCTGTGTGTAGGTCCCATAGTCTGGACGATGTGTTGATGGTGCTGATGTTCCTGTACTCGCTGTCAGGAGGAGACTGTGGGGACGAGGAACTGGAAGTGCAGGTTGGTGAAGTTCTTGCTGCTTCCGATTTTTTAAATGCCTGATTCAAAAACAATTACTCACTTAAAGGCCGGGGTTCAAACCTATACACAGATGGGGTGTGGCCTCCTTGCCTTGTAAAAGCTGTCTTTAAATGCAAAGCAATGCAGTATTCAAGTACATTCCATGAAATATCACAAAACTGACTTACCGGTTCATGAGGACATTAAGTCATAGTGTAAAGAAGTATGTTATGAAGGCTGACGGTAAAATGTATGGATGCAGACAGCCTACAAAACATACATTTTGAAAATATATATTTCTCTTTTTGTCAAATCCATATTTGAATTTCCCACTGTATCAGTCAGGTGGCCAGAGGAGGGGAATTTCCATAGAAACAAGCCTGCGCGTGGGTTAGGGTTTCATTCAATTTCAATGTTTAATATTTCAGGCACATTGTGAAAATGTCCCCCTCCACACTCCCCTGATCCCATGCTGTGCAGGATTAGGGCTGTACACTTATTTGATACTACACATCACCATGTTGGAGGTTTTATTTTCAGAAAAATACTAAACTTTGAAATTTCATGTACGCTTATCAAATTAAACTCTTTAGTCATCAAAATATGTAGTTACAGGGTTGTTGGACATTTACTATAAGGCACATGTTTATTCTTATTAAATTTGAGCAAAATAAAGTACTCTGCTATGCGGCTCGGGACATGCCTTCTGTTGACGCGGGAGTATGTAGCAGGGCGTAGAGTCATCCCACAGATGACATCCTTACCTTGTCAGCTTGCTGATGGGGTTAACCTCTTTGGTCATGTGGACCACGCGCCCGACATCGGAAGGTCCATGGTTCGAATCCCAGCACGGGACTCGGAAATTTTATGGCCGCTACGCTAGTAATGTCAATGATTGGATTGTCTGGTTGAGATTATTTTTATACTGCTGTCATGGAGCTGGAATATTCTTTTGGTTGTTAAACAATGAACAGACAGACACCGTGTTTGGATTCTACAAAACCGCATTCATTCAAAGCTACTTCGTTGAATAGTCCCAGTAGGGAATTCACAAAACAACGATCTGTACCTCAACACTCAAACTCACTTTCACACAACTTTGTTAGTTTTGTTAGTGCCATAAGTATTAACATGATATTACAGGGCTCCAGATAAGGGCCGTATCGGCGTATGTACGGATAACAAATATGCACGATACGGTAGGAAATAATTTAGAAAACGTAGCAGATACGCACCACAGCAATGGTGTACGGGCTTAGAATCATTTACAGACATATTTATCTGAAAATTATTGTTTTATTGTTTATTGACCTGTTTACACAAGAGTAGCGATGTTGTGGTGCATATATAAAAGCGAAACACAAGATTACTGATACTCCATTAAATTCCATTCAGTACTCTAAATGTACTCTTAAGGTTTCCAGTACTCCTGTATTGAAAAAATAAGGAGTACGTGCTTTGATGTCGAAACATTATCTGGAGCCCTGCATTATACCCTGTTTTCCTCACCTGATTTTATTTGATCTTTGTTCAGGACCAGCTTGTGGAGGCTATTTTAGCTGAGAAGTCCGACTTACCCCCTGTGATACATTCTATTGGTGAGTTTGCTGAAGTTACTTTCGTAATAACTCACCGTATTGTTGTGTGACCTTCCATTTATAATCACCCTTGATATTCTATGTACATACATCAGATAGACCTATGGGAACTGTCATAGTTGAGTGGCTCAGTTGCCACTTTCAGCTGAAAAAATGTAAAAAATGTTCAAGGAATTAACATACTGATAATTACCAATATTTGCTTGAAATATTATTAACTGGATAAGGAATTTTTTTTTTTAATTTGTTTCATTATTGTTCAAAGGGACCACATTTATTTACTTAAAACATCAATATATCAACACATTTAGATCATTGCTGATGTGTATTAGGGAAGGTTTGTGTTTTTAATGATTTGTATAATGGGAACAATGACCGTGTCACATAAAGTGATCCTAGTGCTAAGATAGTCCTAAATCTTACATGTTTAACCTAGATTCTTGATAGTGGTAGACAACTTTGTAGAATCGATCCAAGTTGTTATGGGAACAGTGTAGCTTCTTGTCATCCTCCATCACGTTGGAACATTATCCAGTTATTCTGTTTGAATATTGATCTTCAGTAACCCATGCTTGTCGTAAGAGGCGACTAACGGGATCGGGTGGTCAGGCTCACTGACTTGGTTACCACATATCATCGGTTCCCAATTGGGCAGATCGATGCTCATGCTGTTAATCACTGGATTGTCTGGTCTAGACTCGATTATTTACAGACCGCCGCCATATAGCTGGAATATTGCTGAGTGCGGCGAAAAACTCAACTCACTCACTCTATTGCAGTGGGGGATGCTGTTAGTGGCAGTATTGTGAGGGACCTGCTGGAGGATGTGTGGAGCAAACTGGAGGCTGTGGGGACTGCTCGGGACGACCTCAAGAACTTCCAGTAGGTTCCACCTGTCTGTCTGTCTGTCTGCCTACCTGTGACTGTTTTGTGTTTTACTTACTTACCCACCCGTGAAGGTCCGGGTTAGAATTGATCTTCAGTAACCCATGCTTGTCATTAGAGGCGACTAACGGGATCGGGTGGTCAGGCTCGCTGACTTGGTTGACACATGTCATTGTATCCCAATTGCTTAGATGATGTCAGTACAGGATTGTCTGGTCCAGACTCGATTATTTACAGTTGACACATACCTGGAATATTGCTGAGTGCAGCATTAAACAACCAACCAAAACAGGCCTCTGTGCTTTCATGGGACCGTTCCTGTGTCTTGTCTTGTACTACTGTCCACTTCCATTTCTGTCTGTTTGTGTGTATATCTACTGTGTGTGTCTATTCCTGTCTGTACGTTTGTCAGTTCAGAATTTATACACGCTCTCTTGTTTCCTCAGATCCATCCTGGAGCCATCTACAGCCATCAGTCCAGCCAGCATGAAGCCTCTGCTGAAGACAATAGTGGAACAGATCTTCAGCCCCGACAAGCCCGAGCTTGTGGATCTAGAATTTAAATCGAGTGGACTCAAAGACTTCTTGAAATCAGGATTTGGGTAACTGGCGGTTCCAATCTTTGAACATATTTTTCTGTGTGAGGTTATTTTGGTGTTTGCTTGTGCTAGTGCGGAAAAGCCATTTTAATCAAGGGTAGGAAACACTCATGAAAGTTAAACCAGAAACATATTTCTGATCTTAAACACGGTTCTTACACAAGCACCCAGTATATTGACTCGATGCAAAATGTCCATCGGCGATGGAAACACAACTACTATCTTTCAATAGGTCTTGGTATGACACAGGGGGCAGTGGGGTAACCTAGTGGTTAAAGCGTTCACTCGACACTCGAAGACCCGGATTCGATTCCTCACATGGGTACAATGTATGAAGCCCATTTCTGGTGTGCCCTGCCGTGATATTGCTAAAGCGGCATAAAACTAAACTTACTTACTGGTATGACACAGCTGTGAGTCTAACAACCGACCTTCCTCTCTCTCGACAAACACTGTACCCATTCTGTATCAAACTGATGAAGCTGAAGTTGACGTCTATTTTCATTGAAGGATGGTGAGGTGAGGTGAAATTGAATTTAACGTCGTGCTTGACAATATTTCACTCATATGACGACGTGCATGCGTGTGTATGTGCGTCTGCTTGTACTAGCCCAGACTTAAGTTGGTGTTATAGTGCTAGCGCACAGAGATACCATGCCGCAGTGAAGCATGAATACCCCACTCAGACACATTATACTGACTCCGAGCCGACCAGTCCTTGTTGTACCCATTAATGCCGAGCGCCAGGCAGGGACCAACAAGTACCATATTTTAACGTCTTTTGGTATGACGCGGTCGGGGATCGAACCCGCGACCTTCCGCTCTCCTGGCAGACGCTCTAACCACTACACCACGGAGGCGGTTTATTGAAGGATGGTTTACATAGGTAGTTGGATAAACTGTGTGCACTCCAGTATTTTTCTGTTACATTTTCAGATTGTTCATGAACGTGAGCAAGCCCCGCCCCAGTGACCACCCTTTGCTGCTGGTGTTTGTAGTGGGTGGGGTGACCGCGACAGAGGTCAAGCAGGTCAGAGATGTGGTGGACAAGATGAAGCTTGATAAACAGGTATGTACACTTATTACCTGACTAGTTCTTTCCACTGGGCAGAATATAGGGCAGAAGCTTGACTTACAGGCATGTCAATACTTGTACCTGTAATAATAGGGCAGAAGCTTGACTTACAGGCATGTCAATACTTGTACCTGTAATGATAGGGCAGAAGCTTGACTTACAGGCATGTCAATACTTTTACCTGTAATAATAGGGCAGAAGCTTGACTTACAGGCATGTCAATACTTGTACCTGTAATAATAGGGCAGAAGCTTGACTTACAGGCATGTCAATACTTTTACCTGTAATAATAGGGCAGAAGCTTGACTTACAGGCATGTCAATACTTGTACCTGTAATAATAGGGCAGAAGCTTGACTTACAGGCATGTCAATACTTGTACCTGTAATGATAGGGCAGAAGCTTGACTTACAGGCATGTCAATACTTGTACCTGTAATAATAGGGCAGAAGCTTGACTTACAGGCATGTCAAAATACTTGTACCTGTAATAATAGGGCAGAAGCTTGACTTACAGGCATGTCAATACTTTTACCTGTAATAATAGGGCAGAAGCTTGACTTACAGGCATGTCAATACTTGTACCTGTAATAATAGGGCAGAAGCTTGACTTACAGGCATGTCAATACTTGTACCTGTAATAATAGGGCAGAAGCTTGACTTACAGGCATGTCAATACTTGTACCTGTAATAATAGGGCAGAAGCTTGACTTACAGGCATGTCAATACTTGTACCTGTAATAATAGGGCAGAAACGTGACTCACAGGTATGTCAATACTTTTACCGCAGAGCAATTTAGTGACTTGCAACATTTCATGTATTCACAGGTTGTCATTGGAAGCACAAAACTGTTGCGAGGAACTGATGTTCTCCAGTCTGTTTTCTGCCAGAACAATGTGGACCCAGATGCTGTTATGTAGTCTTGTTGATGATCTGTTTTTTTATGTATAGAGGGAAATGAGGCAATAAAACCTGTTTTCATGTGCACGTTTTATGTGTGTGTTTTCATTACTGACTTACCTGAACATGTCTATATGCATTTGGAAGGATGCAGGTGATAGTTGTCCATTAACTGGTGTTTGTCGTGTTTATCAGGCACGACCGCCGCTAAAAGCAACATAAAACCCAACTCACTCACTCATTCACATAAGGCAGAATGTTTTATATTTTCCATGAAAAAATGGCTGTATGCTGAGACAACACATATTTCAGCATTGAGTGCTGAGACAAAACATATTGAAGCAATTTAGGTACTTTTGAAATGGAAAAGGCATGAAAGAAAGTATATTGTTGATCAAATATAATTGCAAATTTTAGTGTTGTCCTGAGCTGGATTACAGAGTATGTAGCACATCATCCAAAAGTGATCTGTAGATGTAAATCCCTAAGGATTCTCGGTTTGAATTGGCCGCAAGGAACCAATGAGAAGTGAATGTATGGACCAGGGACTAGATTTTCGACGCTCTCTTAGCGCTAAGATAGTAAGTAGTTAATGTTAGTGTATGGCACTTACGACTATCTTAGTGCTAAGAGAGCTTCGAAAATCTAGGCCCAGGGATTGAACTTTTTTAATTGGGTGTCAACATGCCCTGACATCATGTAGTTGCTGATATTCCACTATCAATCACTGGATTGTCTGGTCTATTTATATTTTTTGTCTGGAGCAACTTTAACAATCTACATTTTGGTGTACAGACAGACAGACAGAAGTTTATTCGTAATATCGGCCTCATGGCCTATAATACAGTCACAAACTTTGGCAGTTTCGTGAAACAGTGGTCATAATTTGTATTGGGATCTTACTTTAAAAACATAATGTAAAAATAGTGTTGTGCAGTATATAACTTGGGGGGGGTTGGATTGCAAAATTGACGGCAGAGTGAGTGTGCCTTTGTAGACATTTTGTAATAGTTTGAAGTAACTGTCTCTGTACCGCTGATATTTGTCACATTGGAAGAATACATGATTCTCAGTTTCTGTTTCTGCGGCATCACAGAGTGAACACAAGTAGTTCGTACGTGGGCCATTCTCATTAAGTCTGTACATGTTCATTTTAAGTTGTTATTCGAAATACGAAACTTGATAAGTGCACGGATCAGATGTTTATATTTTAGTTCTGTTATGTAGGACTCCAGGCAAAGTTCATGTTTAAACTGAATAATGGCTGAAAAAAGTGGAGCTGTTGATTTAGTCGTGCCAAGTTTGGTAGGCAATATCCTTTAATCGTTGTTCAAAAGTATACATGAAAAGCTGAACGTTAGCAACGCCCTGGTTTCACCAGACATGAGAAAACCCGTTTCTGAGTAGTAAGCTTCTAACATTGGATGCCCAGTTTGTTCTGCCCATGTCATCAAATGTTTTTAGCATTCTGTAGCACTGCAGTGGATAACGTTGTTCATTCTTACTGAGTATCTTGAACCAAAACTTGATTACTCGAATCTGTGTTAATACGTAGATGGGGTGACGACCAAGCTCTCCAAGTGTGGCTTTGTTTGAAGCACATTTTCCAATTTTCAGAAATCGTTTGAAATACATAGTATGGACCCTCTCGATTATATCAGAATATGTATGTCCCCATATTTTCGAACCGTATAGTAGTATAGGTGCCACTTTCGATCAAATATAGTTCTTGCACTTGAATAGGTTAGTTCTTGATACTTGTTAAAAAGTCTGAAAACAGAGAGGCAGGCTTTACTTGCTTGTTGAGCAAGTGCTTCACAGGCTTTTGTCCACACGAGCCTAGATGAAAATATTATGCCGAGATATTTGTAGTATGTAACCACCTTAAGAAGGTTTTTACAAAAAGTCCATTTTTCAGAATGTCTCAGAATTCCTCCGTTACGAAACACTATGATATTTGTTTTGTTAAGATTCAGCTGTAGTCCCCATTTGATACAGAATGATTCTAGGATATTAAGTTGGCGCTGAAAGACCTGTTACACTGGTAGCAAAAAGGACGATGTCATCAGCAAACATTAGCAGTAATAGATCTTGTATATCTTGAGTAACAAACATTCCATTGTTGCCTGATTAGTAGAGCTCTGTTGCAAATTCATTAATAAAGAGAAATAAGAGGAGGGGGCTGAGAATACATCCTTGTCTCACTCCACGAGAAGTTTCAGTTCTTGAGTCATTATTCACTCTTACACTGGCTTTCACCGATGCGTACATACTTTTAAGCAACATAGTTATCTTTCCGTGACAGCCGCGTTGAATCAGAATATATAGCAGTTTATCTCTGTCCACAAAGTCAAATGCCTTTTAAAGTCAATTGAAACCGCAGTAGAAACGACCTTTGGGTTTGCACAAGTATTTCGAACACAAAGCCTGAAGAGTGAAGATATGGTGAGTAGTTGAATATTGTGGGCGGAATCCAGCTTGACTTTCGGATAATATTTCGTTTAACTCAACCCACGTCCTTAATCTTTTTATCTATAATTGAAAAAAAAGTTTTTCCCATTGAGTTTAGAATTGAAATTCCTCTATAACTGGATGGTTCTTTCTTGGATCAAGATTTAAACAGTGGTATAATAACGCCGATATTCCAGTTTGTAGGGAACAGACCATTGTCCAAATTCTTGTTGAATAGCATCTTCACATATGGAATAAAAATATTACATGATAGTTTGTACAGTTCTGGGGGTATCCCGTCAGTGCCTGGTGATTTATTTCATTTAAGATCAGATATAGATTACCTAATTCTTCTTCAGAAATTTCACTGTATAAATAAATATCTTGGTGCGCTAACCCATCGCAGTCCTTACACGAGTGATGTTCGAGGAAGTGTTTTACTTGTTGGTCAAACTCTGAAGCAGTTACTTCTATTTCAGGATTTAACAAATCAGTAAAGTAGGCTTGTCAGTCAGCTGCGGAAATACATGAATCAATGTTTGTTCGGAATGCCTGTTTTATTTTACTCCAGAATTCTTTACAATCCCACGCCCTGCCGCAACGGTGATGTCATCTGCAATGTTTCTGTTGTATCTAATTTTCTTAAGTTTACAACATTCTTTGAAGGCATGCTTTGCATCAATATAATAATTTCTGTTTTTATCGCAATTAAAGTTCCGGAACTTGTGGAGACACCTGTATTTCGCCGTTTTAGTTGTTGGCACTATTAATCAAACCAGGGAGGTTGTTTAGGAGCTTGACTAGAGTTTGAATTACGTGGTAATAATCGTTTTCCTGTTGCTGCCACCACGTCTGATAATTTGCTAACTGCACGATTTAAATCCAAGTTTAAATATTCCAGAAATTCAGATATCAGTACATTTATCTTGTCGTTTGCAACAACGCCAGATAATTGTTCTGTGTCCGTATTGCTGCATCTGTATCTGGGCATCGTGTAGAGTGGCATGTCTGTTCCAGACGCTGGTGCAGTATCATTCCTTATGACGTCATTAAATGTACATGCTATAGGCATATGGTCAGATTCTGATCTTGGAATCACAGTCATGTCACTGATTTTAGGAAATATAGTACTTGATACTAACAGGTAGTCCACCACACTGGCTCCTGCACGCGATATGAATGTAACGTTACCATGTACATCACCCAATGTCCTCCCATTTACTATGTGGAGGTTGAACACTTTACACAAGTTTAGAACACTTCTACTATAGGTGTTGATTTGTGTATCAAATGAGTTTCTTGGTATATCAAATGAATCTTCTCTATAATCATCGTTAAGCGGCAAATAGTGCGTGTCGTCATTTATTATGCAATCTGTTTCATCTGCAGTTCGGGCATTGAAATCTCCCATTAGGATAAAACTAATATCATCTCCATAGTCTGACAGGACATGCAAGAGCTTCTTTTCAAGAGCTGACATTCAATCCTCATCTGCATTTGCCTACTCTTTCGAATATTCTGGATGAATGTATAAAAATAAAACAAATATGGTGGTAGGACACACTTTTGCGTTTTTGGTATACACTCCTATATTGAATGTCCAGTGCTGCACTCAGCAATATTCCAGCTATTTAATAGCATATTTGTTACGAGCATATATCTATGCTAAAGCATGCTCAAAACGCACAAGATAAAGATGAGATTAATGGTAAAGAGCTACAGTTCAAAGGCTATCTTGAACATGTGTGTTTTTTAGATTGGATCTAAAAGCATTAAAGTCACAACAGTCTCTGAGACTCTGCGGCAGACCGTTCCAGGCTATAGATCCTGCATGGACAAAGGACCTCTTTCCATACATCACTGTCTTTACTTTGGGAATAACAAGCAAGTTCTTTTCCTGTGAACGGAGAGATCGGGAAGGCGTGTACACGGTTAGAAGATTGGATAGATAAGAAGGTGCAGTTCCAGTGAGACAGCGCAAAACAAGGCATAAGAGTTTAAACTGGATCCTGAACTCGACTGGAAGCCAGTGGAGAGTGTACAGTATAGGAGTAATGTGTTCATATTTTCCAGAGCGAGTCACGATACGGGCGGCGACGTTCTTCACTCTCTGCAGCTTGGCTATCTGGGTCTTTGATGCACCGGTCAGTAAATGTTTACAGTAGTCAAGTTTATGGCAGTAGTCTGTAAATAATCGAGTGTGGACCAGACAATCCAGTGATAAACAGCTTGAGAATCGATCTACACAATTGGGATACGATGACGTGTCAACCAAGGCGTCGAGCCTGACCACCCGTTCCTGTTAGTCGCCTCTTAGGACAAGCATGGGTTGCTGAAGACCAATTCTAACCGAAATCTTCATAGGTGAAATTTGATTGCCACACTGGATTGAGGATTATCTGCCAGACTCTTGCTGGTAGAAGTATGGACATTGAATCCTTCAATGTTATGTGCTGGATTTTATATTTACTGATTAAGGGACATACTGTCGTTGTTGCGTGATTCTGGATTTATAAGCGAGCTGAGAAGATACTATACCTAAATATCCCGCTGAAGTACTACCCGTGAAGATCCGGGTTAGAATTGATCTTCAGTAACACGTGCTTGTAAAATCGACTAACGGGATTAGGTGGTCAGGCTTGGTTGACACATGTCATTGTATCCCAATTGCGTAAATCGATGCTTATGCTGTTGATCACTGCATTGTCAGATCCAGCCTCGATTATTTACAGACCGCCGCCATATAGCTAAAATATTGCTGGGTGCAGCGTAAAACTAAACTCACTCACTGGATTTACTCACAGATTGTGGATTGACCTACAGAATGTCAATTGTGGACTTTTTTTTATTTTTTTGTGACAACAATAATAATTTTCTTTCGTTTTTGTTTTTTTTTTAATTCTGTGAATTGTGGAGTAAGGTGCCCCGACATATACTACCCATCAAAAGTTTAGACTCACTTAAAGCACTCACTATATGTTATGTATATATGTATGGTTACATAGAAGATGAATTTCTCCTCTAACTTGGGGGAACCAACTGCAAACCTTATACAGATGAATTGCACGAGGATCATGCATCAAACTGCTGAAAAGAATGTGCAAGTATCGTGCGTGTGAACAGATGCGTTTTGGTGTAAAGTTCTGTTACAAATTCGCCAATTTTCACTGGGTTTCATCATTTATTGAACTCATGACAATAATCTTTTCAACATTACGAATTTGTTTTACAATACATCAGTTCATGTGTAAACAGTACATATAAACAGTATAGAATATTTGCAAAATCTAGTTTCGGATAGTTGACTGAAGTAAGTGGTTACATTTACACTAGTGAGTCTAAATTTTTGATGGGTAGTATATATTGAATGTCACACACAAGCTGGAAACACTTGGTCTACTGCCACCTCCCAATCGTTAACCTACTGCGATGGCGGAAACACTGAGTTAGTACTATGGTTGGGGCGGTGGGGTAGCCTAGTGGTCAAAGCGTTGGCTCGTCACGCCGAAGACCCGGGTTCGAATCCCCACATGGGTACAATGTGTGAAGTCCATTTCTGGTGTCCCCCCGCCGTGATGTTGCTGGAATATTGCTAAAAGCGGCGTAAAACCATACTCAGTCAGTCAGCCAGTAGTACTATTAATGCTGTATCTCTCATTATGAACACCAAAACACTGTGATCTACAAAACACATTTTATTTGAAATTGTTTGTAGAATTGTCTTCTTTCTGGAGATTGCATGCACCTAAAGAATAAAATCAAATCATTCATATATGAGTATGACGTACAATGAATAAACAAAAATACGATGTTCGCGAAATTTAGCCAGAAATATTTTTATCAGAGAGTATCTTTCCATTGCCTTTTTTTCAAATGACTCTGCGACTCCTTTTGTAAAGATCAGACAAAGGTCAAGATCATTGCATTGAATAAATTCACAAAGACGTTCTTTCTGAAAAAGAGTTGTTGCGGTAAATTGGATGGGCGTTTGGCCGTTGCTTGGCAGAAAAATTTAAATTATTTTAGTATTTGTAAAACATGTCTTTGTTTCATCATTGCCAGTTTTTTCGATAATGTTACCTCTCCAACTATCTCCTCGATCCATACTGCAAGAAAAGAAAAGTAACATCATAAAAAACAACGTTTAAAAGCTTTTAAAGGAAATGGTTGTGAAAAGGACTGAGTCTGTTTCTACACATAATTTCAAACACTTCTGTGGGGCAGTGGGGTAGCCTAGAGGTTAAAGCGTTCTCTCGTGACAACGAAGAACCAGGTTCGATTCCCTACATGGGTACAATGTGTGAAGCCCATTTCTGGTGTCCCCCGCCGTGATATTGCTGGAATATTGCTAAAAGCGGCGTAAAACCATACTCACACACTCACTCACTCAAACACTTCTGGTAAATACAGGCACTTGAGATACTGCTAGAATACTGACACTCTTGCTAATGTATCGGCCTTAACCACACATGGTTAAAAGAAAAGACAGCCCGACCAGAATATCCAAAAATTTAAAAGTCTCTGCTAAAGCCAGAGTTCATTGTCTTTGATTATGACTATATGTCATGAGCATAATTATGTATCAGCATAATTATGTATCAACTTCGGTGCCAAGGGTGGCCATTCTTGTACTGATTAGGCACTGATGACCAAGGGCTCTAGGTCATTGGATTTCGGCTTATCGTCATGGTAAGGAGGATACTGTTTTTGAGTTCGAAGACATTTTTCACAGTGATCATGATATTTCATTTGTCAGCAACATGGGTGTGGTGAAACATTCTTCACCACAGTCAGCGATATTACAGATATACCTCAAAGGGATGTAAAGGATTAGCGTTTGGGTCAAGTAAAGAAGTATTTGAAAGCTGATTACATGAGGTACTGTGATAAATGGAAGGTTGGTATTAGGTATGGGATTGATTGAATGTTGTTGTTGACAGATTGGATACAGTGGTTGTCAAGAGAGTGAGTGAGTTTAGTTTTACGACGCACTCAGCAATATTCCAGCTGTATGGCTGCGGTCTGTAAATAATCGAGTCTGGACCAGACAAGCCAGTGATCAACAGCATGAGCATCAGTCCACGCAATTGGGACACGAGTCAACCAAGTCAGCGAGCCTGACCACCCGGTCACGTTAGTCGCCTCTTACGACAAGCATGGGCTGCTGGGGGAATCTTAGTCGAAGAGACTGTGAATAGTACTTACGTTGTGGCTATTTTGCATGGTCCTTCACAAAGTTGTAAATCTGAAAGATTAACATTGAAGGTAAGTCCACGCGCTTTCGACGCACAACATCAGATGTACGTGTATTACCATGGATACAGTGGTATTTGCTTGTTGAACTCTGATATTTGGGCATATTTTCACTCGTAATGGAGAACGCACATTTGTAATTTTATAGCTCATTTATACAGCTCAACGTTGTTTCTAACCGAGGTATACACATTCAACTGTACAATATTTGTAAAATATTTCACGTAGTACGCTCTTAAATATCGCGAACCCAACCAGTTTACGATCACGATCAGTACATTACGACGGCGTGGGAGTTGGGGAGGTACTTACCCTACGGAATTCAGCTATAAATTCCCCCCTCGTTTATGACACCATCAGCTGAAATATGCATTGTGATAGTAAATCGATATTACTTAAATGGACAATGATGTTGATGTCGACGCGATTCACTGAACGCGTCTACTTAAACACTAATTAGCTAGCCTCAAACTATAGCATCTTGGAGCGAGTGAGTTTAGTTTCACGCCGCTTTCAGCAATATTCCAGCAATATTACGGCGGGGGACACCAGAAATGGGCTTTACACATTGCACCTATGTGGGGAATCGAACCCGGGTCTCCGGCGTGATGAGCCAACGCTTTAGCCACTAGGCTACCCCACCTACCCTTAAACACCTTGGAGGACTAGATACTTAATAACAGTTTTGATAGGTGATTTGAAAAGGGGTAAACTCCATGTCAACGATTATAGCGTTATGGATTCATGTGTGCATGCGCGAGCTCTTGTCGGTGTTTTTTTTTTCTGTGCTGGGTCATTTAGATACCATGCCACAGTTTATCATGAATAACCCAATCAGATACAGAATACTGACTCTGAACAGAGCATTCCTGGTTTCAATGATGATAATAATAATAATAATGTCCACTTGTATGGCGCCGTATCCACACACTAGTGTATGCTCATGGCGCCACGTGTGTACAGCTAAAAACTGCAGCAATTGTACAAGTCATTCGTAATATTTCCTGAAAAGATGGGTCTTCAATGAAGATTTGAATAAGTCAAGAGATTTTGCTGGTTTGATGGTTATGGGAAAACTGTTCCACAGTGAAGGAGCAGTATAGCTGAATGATCTGTGACCATAGTTCTTGAGATTGACAGGGGATGTTGTTAGGAGGAACTGTTGGTGTGATCTCAGCTGTCGTGGTAGTGTGTACACTGAGATGAGTTCAGAGAGGTACTGAGGCGCTAGGTCATGTAGACATTGGAACACAATGGTCAAGATCTTGAATTCGATTCTGGCTTGGATGGGCAACCAGTGAAGAGACTTTAGGACAGGGGTTATGTGAGATCTTTTAGATGTTAGGGATACAATGCGGGCTGCAACGTTTTGGATTTTCTGGAGTTTTGTCAAGTGTGCAGAGCTGAGTCCAAACAGAATGCTGTTTGAATAGTCCAGTCTAGATAGAACGATTATCACCTTAATGCTTTGGGGATGACCCTACGAGGGGATCAACGCTTCGGTCACCATGCAAACGCTCTAAGCTCACCACAGCCAAAACGATCAACAAGGAACACTGTTAAAATATGTGGAAAATAATCCCCCTAAACGTTTTGTGTGTACTTTCTTTGGTACGTCAGTTTATATGATGACGATTAGAAATAACCATTGTATAAATCAAAGAACCAAACTTTATGGATAACAACTTCTTTTTACTGCGACGTTTCGATGCAGATTCAACCGTTGTCAAGCATAATGGTGAAGAAGGGGAAGTGTACTTAGACTTCTAAAATGCCACTCAAAGAAGTTACCCATCAAAGGTTTAGACTCACTAGTGTGAATGTAGCCACTTACTTCAGGCAACTGTCCTAAACTAGATTTTGCAAAATATTCCATACTGTCTGAAGGTACTGTTTACACATGAACAGATGTATTGTAAAAAAAATTCGTAGCGTTGAAAAGATTATTGTCACGAGTTCAATAAATGATGAAACTCAGTGAAAACTGGGTGGATAGATAGATAGATAATTGAAAGTTTAATAGGTGTTCGGGCAACTGGGCCCATTTACACCTTGCCAATCATAAAGGTTTGCTAAGTTCCTAATTTTGTATAAAGTAGTTAAGCTGCCACACGATTTAATATAAGCAAGAATGACATTCTGAACATCATTGCGAGTGATATTACTTGAACACAACAGTCCAGTCAATGAGATGTCAATATTAAGCGCTGTCAAAGATTCCACCATCGCCTTACGTTGAGTTAGATATTTTTGGCAATGCAGTAAATGATGAACCACATCATCTAGCTGATTACACACTGTGCAATTTGCAGGAATATCATTATAAATAATGTTTAGATATGCACCAAGACCACAATGCCCAAAACGAAGTCTGGTTAAAAGAACCTCTTCTCTACGAATGCTTCTGGATAATTTTGCTTTAGCTACATAAGGCTCGATGCCATAGAGACTGCGGCGTTTTAAGGATGAGGTCCATCTCTGTTGCCATTTCGTTTGAACATGGATCTTACTGACGGTGCATAATTCTGCAGGAGAGGGCAATATTGTCTCATCCTGTTCTAAGACATCAAAATCTAATGCAGCTTTTGCCAACTGATCAGCTTTTTCATTTCCAAATATTCCAACATGAGCAGGTATCCATGAGTGAAAACTGGGGAAGTCTTAACAAAACTTTACACAAAACACAGCTGTTCACATGCACGATATTTGCACATGCTTTTCAGCAATTTGATGCATGATCCTCGTGCAATTCATCTGCTAAAGATTTGCAGTTGTTTCCACCAAATCAGTGGAGAAATTCATCTTCGATGTAACCATATAAAAATATACATAACATGTAGTGTGAGTGCTTCAGGTGAGTTTAAACTTTTGATGGGTGCTAGATGCTTTTTCCAGATACATCACCAAAACGGTTGACAAGGAATTCAACACTGTTCTACTCACAGTTGGAATCGTATTCCATGAACAGCCGTGGCACCTCTTGTAGTGTGATGGCTCCGTTGTGGTCATGATCAATGAACTGGAACAGTTCCGTGGTGATGAACTTGGATAAATGCGTCACAGCCGCGTACTCTGTGATGGTAACCCGCTGATCCCCTGAAGATAACGCAGTTAGTTGTGCACGTCAAACAGCTTGATGATAGACGGCTGAAGATGCTGACCATCGTTCGTATGACTGACTGACTGAGTTTGGTTTTACGCCGCTTTTAGCAATATTCCAGCAACATCACGGCCGGGGGACACCAGAAATGGGCTTCACACATTGTGCCCATGTGTCGTTCGTATGAGTGAGTGAGTGAGTGAGTGAGTTTAGTTTTACGCCGCTTTTAGCAATATTCCAGCATTATCACAGGGCGGACACCAGAAATGGGCTTCACACATTGTACCCATGTGGGTGAGTGAGTGAGTGAGTTGAGTTTTACGCTGCACTCAGCAATATTCCAGCTATATTGCGGTGGTCTGAAATAATCGGGTCTGACTCAGACAATCCACTGATCAACAGCATGAACATCTATCTGCGCAATTGGGAACCGATGACATGTGTCAACCAAGCCAGCGAGCCTGACCACCCGATCCCGTTAGTCGCCTCCTACGACAAGCATGGGTTACTGAAGGTTCATTCTAACCCGGACCTTCACGGGTGTATACCCATGTGAGGAATCGAACCTGGGTCTTCGGCGTGACGAGCGAACGCTTTAACCACCAGACTACCCCACCGCCCCGCCAGAAACTGTTTAACGGGAATGAAATAGGCTATTGGTAGAGCGTTCACTCGTCATGCTGAAGGCCGAGTTCAAACACCTACATAGTTTCAAAGTTTACAGAGCTTGTTTCTATTTTCAGTTGCTGTTATATTGATGGAAAACCACCACCACTAATAATGGTAATGTTGTTAATAATAATAATCATAATAATCATAATAAGGCATGCATGCGGCGAGTCTATTTCTCCGCTCAGTATGCGCTAGATTATTCAGCTCACTGGGGAGTATAAAACCCAAGTTGCTTGTGAAGTGCTAGAACTTTGAAGTCACGTTAACATCTCATCCTACCGGGTACCCACGCACTGATGAGAGAACACAGGTGAATCATGTTAAGACCATACTCATTCACTAACGTATCTCAATATACTTAATTGTATCATTTACAATCATTTAGAATGCTACTTTCTCACCGTTCACATCTTGTTCAATCCACAGCTTTTCAAAGTCCAACAGCGTCAAAATTCCATCATGGTTGACGTCATTTCTGTAGAAGCTCATCGCAAAAATTTGGTCCAGACTTGGGGTTGTCATGGACACGGGAACTGCCGTGGCAGCGTGTGAAGTTTTGTGAGGGATAGCAGTTGTTTTTGGATGCTTTGTTGACGTAGTGGGTTTTATTGACATTGTGGGTTTTATTGACGTTGTGAGTTTTATTGACTTTGCGGGTTTTATTGACGTTGTAGGTTTTACTGACGTCCCGGGTTTTATTGACGTTGTCCTGTCTGTGTGTTGGACTGGTGTGGTTTTGGCGGATGTAGAATCTGGATGTCTCGTTGTGGATGTGTCTGTAGGCTTGGCGGAGGTAGAATCTGGATGTCTCGTTGTGGATGTGTCTGTAGGCTTGGTCGAGGTAGAATCTGCATGCCTTGGGGCGGTTGTCTTTTTCGGCATAGTGGAAGTAGAACCCGGATGTATTGGTGTTGTCGTGGTGGCGTCGCTGTTACTTGCTGCAGTAGGTGTCTCATATCTTGCTGTAGTTGGTGATTGATGCCTTGATGTAGATCCTCCCGGAAGAGTAGACGCCTTATCCGTAGAAGCGCCTGTAGTAGTGAGTTTAGTTTAGTTTTACGCCGCACCCAGCAATATTCCAGCTATTTGGCGGCGGTCTGTAAATAATCGAGTCTGGGCCAGAAAATCCAGTGAACAACAGCATGAGCATCGATCTGCGCAACTGGGATCCGATGACATGTGTCAAACCAAGTCAGCGAGCCTGATCACCCGATCCCGTTAGTCGCCTCTTACGACAAGCATGGGTTACTGAAGATCAATATTCGGATAGGCGGATCCAGAAATTTTCAAGAGGTGGGTGGGGTGGGGTGGGATGGGGTTTCAGGGGTTGAACCCCTGAACCCCTGGAACTGCCATTGCAAAACATAAACTTCAATGTGGTCTTTAGTCATTTTCAAAAGGGGTGGGGGTGGGCGGCGACACCCCTTAACCCCACCCATCACCCCCAACCCCACCCCTCCTCTGGATCCGCCACTGTAAATCTACATGCAGACCAAATACCATCAGAGCACAATCCACAGTATTTAGGACACAATTCCCTTGTGTTCTGGCTGTCCCTGAAAGTGGTACATATGTGGGCGGTGTGGTCCAGGTCGGCGCAGTTGGCTCCGTCAGCGTCGCGGCACGTTGATGCGAGTGTTGGGTCTAAAACACATGAACACAGGTGTCCGCGTTTTGGTGGCGTGTTCTTTGTTTGAATATCAACAATAAAGTGAGTTGACTTTACGCCGCTTTTAGCAATATTTTAGCAATATCACCGTGGGGGTCACCACAAATGGGCTTCACACATTGTTCCCATGTAGGGGAATCGAACCCAGGTCTTCGGCGTGACTAGGCTACCCCACTGCCCCGAAAATGAACAATAGAACTGAAAGCATTATAGGTTGGAGAGCTAGTTGACAGATTTGGAAAAGGATATTTGCTGTGTGTTTTTCATTTTGTTTTCATTTTGTTTACGTTCATTACATAAAATACACGTTCGTTAAAATTTGAAATATTGTTTTCACAGGAAGCTTTTACAAATGTTTGTAAGTCGTTCGTGCGAAATGTATTGTGATCCACCTTGAACAATCACGATAATATAATCCACTGGTACTTGAGTGTGTGAGTGAGTTTGAGTTTACGCTGCAGTGATATTCCAGCTATATGGCGGCGGTCTGTAAATAATCTGGACCAGACAATCCAGTGATCAACAGCATGAGCATCGATCTGCGCAATTGGGAACAGATGACATGTGTCAACAAAGTCCGTGAGGAAGACCACCCGATCCCGTTAGCATGCCTCTTACGACAAGCATGGGTTACTGAAGGCCAATATTCTAACCCGGACCTACACGGGTCTGGTACTTCATAGCCCTTGCTAGAATGAGTCTTGGAATACTGTGGATTACACTACGAAGTGATCGTTGTAATTCCTGCGCATAGTATAAGATTAGTTGATTGAGGTACGTGTGGCGTAAAACAACAAACAGTTATTAATGTGCTGTTCACTTAATTCGAGAACATTGCGGTGCTCTAAGACAGATACATGACAAGTGACAGTAACTTATCGGAATACAAAGGGACCCTCGAGAGAACAAAAGGACCGGTTGCCCTTTTGTACCGAAATATCCCGCTAAAGTACTACCCGTGAAAATCCGGGTTAGAATTGATCTTCAGTAACCCATGCTTGTCGTAAGAGGCGACTAACGGGATCGGGTTGTCAGGCTCGCTGACGAGGGTTGACACATGTCATCGTATCCCGATGGCGTAAATCGATGCTCATGCTGTTAATCACTGGATCGTCTGGTCAGACTCGATGATTTACAGGCCGCCGCCATATTGCTGGAATATTGCTGAGTGCGGCGTTAAACAACAAACAAAACGCTAAAGTACTGTCACCTATGGAATCCTGGAAGGGACATTGTCGCGTTGTCGCCCTCTCAAATACAAGCAAAATTAAACAAAAGGCGACACGCGACACGCGACAATGCGACAAATGGGCGAAATGTCGCGTTGTCGCGATGTCGCGTGTCGCGTTTTGGTTTATTTTGCCTCACTTTACTTGTTTTTTGACAATGCGACATAGCGACAATGTCCTTCTAGGATTCCATAGTCACCCGTCGGCTACTACTCAGACTGTACCAGGAGTGCAAAGGTGACAATATCTGGGACAGAGGTCCCTGGTGTTCTGGCTGTCCCGGTAGAGGGTGCAGATCTGGGCAGTGTGGTCAAGGTCGGCGCAGTCAGCTTCCGGGGCATCCACACAAGGTCCAGTAAAGGAGGGAGATGTCGTCGCCGAGCCGCTGACTGATGATGGCGAGGATGTTGTCTGAGCTGTGGTGTAAATGAAAAGTGGTTAGGCCGCCATTTTTACTGATCATTTAAATCAGAAGCTTATGTTACTTATTTCTGGACTACAGCAATGATGTTTTGTATGGTCTTCCCAGACATCTTATCACGAAATTGCAGAAGGTGCAAAGTTCTGCAATCTTTATTAGCACAAGAACAAGCAGATACGATCCCATAGCCCCAATGCTGAAGGCATAACATTGGCTTCCCAAAGATGTATCTAGTTGATGGTTCTCACAATTGTGTTTAGGTGCGGTTGGGGTAGCCTAGTGGTTAAAGCGTTCGTTCGTCACGCTGGACATCTGGTTCGATTCCCCTCATGGGAACAATGTGTGAAGCCCATTTCTGGTGTCCGCGATATTGCTGGAATATTGCTAAAAGTGGCGTAAAACCATACTCACTCCCTCACTAAAATATACAGGCATTCAAATTAAATATTAAACTATTTTGAAAATTCTGAATAAATCTTAAAGCCTATCTCTTCAGTTAACTTCATTACCTGTCCCACATAGTCCACAGAACTTCGGGCAGTATCTCTTGGTGTCAGCACTATCGCGGAAGACTGTACAAATTTTTCGCAGTTCGGTCAATGTCAGCACAGTCGAAAGTAGGATCGTCTTTACATGGACCGTTGTATGGGGCACCCGTAACATGCATGCCTGATGACGTTGACGTTGCTGAAGACGTTGGAGTTTGGTTCCCTGGTTTGTAAACATGCAGCGTACAATGTCATTGGTCCCATCCCCAAAGCGTTCGTAGTTACGAACTGTCGTACTCTGCAGTACACACGCTTAAGAATGTCGTGGCGCTAAGAATGCTCTGTGGAACGGGACCGACGGAATGGGTATGCAAGATGGATAGTGTCAAGTTACAAAAAGAGATGATTAATTTATGAAACATAGTAACGCATGAATGACGTTAGTGACTTTGGTTCCCTTCTAAGTGTGCTGCGTACAATATCCTTCGTTCCATTCTCAAAGCGTTCTTAGCTACGAACTATTGTACTCTGCACTACACACGCGCTACGATTGCGTTGTGGAATGGGACCGACACTCAGAATGCGTATGCAAGATGTCAAGTTATTTAATGAAATAATTACTTTTTGTAATATGTTAACGTAATCATGTGATCAAGATACCAAGCTGTTCTACATGAATGGCATCTGTGACGACGTTGACATTGTCGACGACGTCAGTCGTTGGTTCCTCAGTTTGTAAATCGGCTCCAGAATGCGTATGCAAGATTGATTGGTGTCAAATAAATACTCAATTATTAAATGTATGAAATAAAGTTCTTTGACTCTGTGATTATGATAATGATGCCAACCGTTTCCACAGAGTCCGCAATATTTGGGGCAGTACTTCCTTGTCTGGTCACTGTTGAGGAACGCTGTGCATATGTGGGCAGTCCGGTTCATATCAGCACAGTCCATAGCGGGATCGTCTATACATGGACCGTCGTAGGGAACTGCAGTCGTCCTCGTCGTCCATACCGATGTTGCAGCTGACGGGGATGATGCCGTTGCTGGAAATGTCGATGGTATTGATGATGAATGTTTGGTAGTTCCTGATTTGTAACCTATTACAAATATCAGCCTATAATAACCCCGAGATTAACGGATTATGGGCTCAGGGAACGTCTCTTTGCATACATATATCACATATATTGCAGTACTGGAGCCTAGTAGTTAAAACACTGGTTCGATTCCCCATGTAAGGACGATTTGTGAAGCAAATTTCTGGAGTCTCTCTCCGTGATGTAGCTGTAATATTGCTAAAATCGGCGTAAAACCATACTCACTCACTCACTTACTGGAGGAAACTCTGTCTGCGGAGGACAGCATCAATACAGGAACGTTAAGACACATGAACAGTGAAACATCAGACACACAAGATGCATACAAGCTCGATACAACAAGCGGAACGACGAGGGGAGATCAAGCTCAGACTGGCATAGGGTTAGCGGGGCTCTCACGTACGTGAGGCAAACGATTATCACCACAGACACAAATAGCCTGGCGTATATACTGCTTAGACACACATGATCGTGAGCGGAGATCCAGCTCTGACAATCATGAGCCTATCGAAAATCCAGCTCAGACACACATGAGCCCAGCGGAGATCCAGCTCAAACACACATGAGGTGATCGAAGATCCAGCTCAGACACACATGAGGTGAGCGGAGATCCAGCTCAGACACACACGAGGTGAGCGAAGATCCAGCTCAGACACACACGAGGTGAGCGAAGATCCTGCTCGGATACACATAAGGTGAGCGAAGATCCAGCTCAGACACACACGAGGTGACCGGAGATCCAGTTCTGACATTCATGAACCGAGAGGAGATCCAACTTAGACACACATGAGGTGAGCGGAGATCCAGCTCAGACACACACGAGGTGAGCGAAGATCCAGCTCAGACACACACGAGGTGAGCGAAGATCCTGCTCGGATACACATAAGGTGAGCGAAGATCCAGCTCAGACACACACGAGGTGAGCGAAGATCCAGCTCAGACACACACGAGGTGAGCGAAGATCCAGCTCAGACACACACGAGGTGAGCGAAGATCCAGCTCAGACACACACGAGGTGAGCGAAGATCCAGCTCAGACACACACGAGGTGAGCGAAGATCCAACTCAGACACACATGAGGTGAGCGGAGATCCAGCTCAGACACACACGAGGTGAGCGAAGATCCAACTCAGACACACATAAGGTGACGGAGATCCAACTCAGACACACATGAGGTGACGGAGATCCAACTCAGACACACATGAGGTGACCAGAGATCCAGTTCTGGCATTCATGACCCGAGATCCAGCTTGTCACTGACAGAGACCATACTATTCTTGCCGACATGAAAATCACGGCTTGACTTCGAACCATCTGAGCAGAGTCCACAATATTTGGGACAGAATGTTTTAATTGCGTCACTGTGAAGGTGCTTGGAACAGATCTGCCTGCGTTGCGTAGCACAGTCGAAGCGAGCTCACACGTAGCACAGTCGAAGCTGGACGGGAGATGGCACTGTGACTGGGTTAGGTGGCAGGATAGATGGCACCCGTGACAGGTGGTACACGTCACAGCTGAGATCCGTTAACCGGGGTGATAAAGCTCATGTTAAAGCGTGATATCCAGCATGGAAAGAAGCTCAACATATATGAAACATAAAAGCTATTGATGTTGTAAAGTATCATCATCATCATCATCATCATCATCATCATCATCATCATCATCATCATTATCATCATCATCATTATCATCATCATCATCATCATTATCAGTACTGGGGCGGTGGGGTAGCGTTCTCTCTCGTCACAACGTAGGCCCGGGTTCGATTCCCCCTACATGGGTACAATGTGTGAAGCCCATTTCAGGTTCCCCGCCGAGATATTGCTGGAATATTAATAGCGGCTAAACTCACTCCTCACTCGTCAGTACTGTTTTGAGAACTAGCTATCTACACTCACTCCTACGCACTACACAAAATAATCTAATTGTCACACACAAATAATTCATCGAAAATAGTTTATCTTACCTTGTGAACGCGTCATGATAAGTTCGTTACATTTGACGAGTGTACGGGATTCGTGTAAACTGGACGTTCGTGTACACACCCCGATTATAGGTCAAGCAGAATAATGTGTTTTAATGCAGTGTGCGAAATAGTTTCCAAATTTTGCTCTCCAGTCGGGCTAGCTATGCCTGAAAATTACTAGCCCATAAAAGAGATTTACTAGCCCGAAATTGGAATGTGAAAACTAAGCAAAGATTACAAAAGGTAAAATACCATAAAAAAACCAAATGACCCCATGAAAATTCAAAGCACTAGTCCAGTCGGGTCAGTGACTGTTGGGATTTACTGGCCCGACTGGATCTTTACTAGAATTTACGGGCCAGAGCGCCAATGGCTATTTCGCACACTGGTTCAATGAGACCATTCACTGCAACGCTTGGGAGAGGTGTTCAGAAACAACTACAATATATCTGTGTGTGTTCGATATTCAGCATTATTCCAGAAGATAATAACTGAGTGTGGTACAGACACACCAGTGGTTGATATTGTGACTACCTTTCTACTTCTTCGTGGTACGAGGTGAGTGAGTATGGTTTTACGACGCTTTTTGCAATATCCCAGCAATGTCACGGCAGGGGACACCAGAAATGGACTTCACACATTGTACCCATGTGGGGAATTGAACCCGGGTCTTCGGCGTGACGAGCGAACTATTAAGTCACCTGTGTTAGTGACAAGTAGCTATGATATCACTGAATCCATGTTGCTTACATCGAATGGATATTATGATCACTTGATTGTCTGGTCCAAACTCGATTATTTACAAACTGCCTTTAAATGGCTCAAATATTGCCGCGTGGGTCGTTAAAGCTAAAACACACAAAACAAAACAACATGACGTCTTATATACACTTACCAGTATTGGCCACCCGGATGCACAGATGAAGCGACAATAATATGAAATAAAGAGGAACCTAAAATAGATAAAATCCTATCATGTAAACAACCCTTGAAGATCCAAGCTGGAATGTGTCTTCAATAACCCATACTAGTCTTCCGGATTAGAATTGGTCTGCAGCAACCCATGCTTGTGTTAATAGGCGACTAACGATACCGTGTCCGTTGTTTCATGCAGAGTTCTTTTCGCGCGCGGAATTCATGCATAATCAGTACTCACTGGTTCCATTCTCCATGGAACCAGACCATATTCAGTTAAAAACTCAAATACCCTTAAATCTGCAGTAAGTTGTCACAGGTGATTGGGGAAAGTACAGTCCGTTTGATTTCTATTGAGACCGATGAATTGCTCCACTCACACAAAATCTAATAATTGCAACAAAACCACATTACAGCCAGGTAATCAACAAGCGTGTGTGTTTTGAAATTTCAATTTTACACGTGCAGCTCGTCCACCTGTTCTTCCAGCAAAGTGGCAACAAAATAATGATAGTTTGTAAACATCTTAGCCATGCGTAACGTT